ATTTTTTTTTCTATGGTTGTTGTTGTTATATTATTGTTGTTGTTGTTGTTATTGTTATTTTGCAAGGGTGTTTTTTTTGTGATTCTCTTGGCTCTGGCGAAGCATGGCGGCGAGGACGAGCTACAGACGTAAGATTTTTTTTTTTTCTGTGGTTGTTGTTGTTATTATTATATTATTATTATTATTATATTATTATTATTATTATTATTATTATTATTGTTGTTGTTGTTGTTGTTGTTATTGTTATTTTGCAAGTTTTTTTTTTGTGATTCTTTTGGCTCTGGCGAAGCATGGCGGCGAGGACGAGCTACAGACGTAAGGATATTTTTTGTTTTATTTTGTTTTTATTTTCTGTGGTTGTTGTTGTTGTTATTATTATTATTATTATTATTATTATTATTATTATTATTATTATTATTATTATTATCATTATATTATTATTATTATCATTATTTTGCAAGGGTGTTTTTTTCTTTTTTATCCTGGGTCTGGTAATGCTTTTTTTAATGTTTGTGATGTTTTATTTTATTTATTTATTATTATTATTGTTATTTTGTGTGTGTGTGTTTTATTTTTTCCGTTTTTCACATATTACGTAGATGATTCTTTTGGTTTTGGCAAAACATGGCGTCGAGAAGGAGCTACAGGCGTAAGAAATATTTTTTTTTCTATGTTTTTTTATGTTTTTTGTGTTTTGTTCGTTTTTAAGGGATTTTTTTTTTTTTTTTGTGCGTCTTATTTTTTCCCGTTTTTTTTCTACATTTTACGTATATGATATTTTTGTCTTTGAGGAACTACGTAAGAAATATCTTTATTATTTCTTGTTTTTTATTATTATTTTTTTATTATTTTGAAAGGTCAATTTTTGTATTTTTTCCGTTTATTTTTTTTTTTATGTTTTATGTAGATTTATTATGTTATTCTTAATTTCTTGTTATTAATCTTAACATTTCTTTGTACCTGATGTGAATCTTTATTTTTTCTTATTATATTTGAGTTTTATTTATAGTATTTTCTCAATGCACAAGTATTTGGCATGAATTAATGCATGTATTATTTTTTTCTTCAGTTTCCCCTCGTTATAAAACATTGGTAAGTTTCGTTTTCTTTAAAGTTTACAAATATTAATGTTGCTGTTATTATCATCATTATTGTTGTTATTTTGAAGTTATTAATGCAGGTAATAAAACACGGTTTCATTCACAATACACTAATCTTCACTTTTTATATAGATTTTTTTTTCACAATTTTTCGAGATTTTGAAACCACTATAACTGCAATCACTACTACTAGTACTACAACTACTACTACTACAACTAATACTACTACAACTACTACCACCATTGCTACTACTGCTACTACTATGCTTTTGCTATTACTACTACTACTACTACTATCACTACAACTGCAATCACTACTACATCTACTACTACTACTACTACTACTACTACTACAACTACTACCACCATTGCTACTACTGCTACTACTATGCTTTTGCTATTACTACTACTACTACTACTATCACTACAACTGCAATCACTACTACATCTACTACTACTACTGTTTTTGTACTACTACCACCATTGCTACTACTGCTACTACTATGCTTTTGCTATTACTACTACTACTACTACTATCACTACAACTGCAATCACTACTACATCTACTACTACTACTGTTTTTGCTACAACTACTACTAGTACAACTACTACCACCATTGCTACTACTGCTACTTCTATGTTTTTGCTATTAGTACTACTACTACTGCTACTATCACTACAACTGCAATCACTACTACATCTACTACTACTACTGTTTTTGCTACTACTACTACTACTACAACTACTACCACCATTGCTACTACTGCTACTTCTATGTTTTTGCTATTAGTACTCCTACTACTACTACTATCACTATAACTGCAATCATTACTACATCTACTACTACTACTATTTTTGCTACTACTACTACTAGTACAACTACTACAACTGTTGCTACTAGAGCTATCCCTATGCTTTTGCTATTACTACTACTACTACTACTACTATCACAATAACTACAATCATTATTACGACTACTACTACTACTGTTTTTGCTACTACTACTACAACTACTACCACCATTGCTACTACTGCTACTTCTATGCTTTTGCCATCACTACTACTACTATCACTATAACTACTAGCATTATTACGACTAGTACTACTACTGTTTTTGCTACTACTACTACAGCTACTACGACTGTTGCTACTACTGCTACTACTATGCTTTTGCTATCACTACTACTACTATCACTATAACTACTAGCATTATTACGACTAGTACTACTACTGTTTTTGCTACTACTACTACAACTACTATCACTATTGCTACTACTGCTACTACTATGCTTTTGCTATCACTACTACTACTATCACTATAACTACTAGCATTATTACGACTAGTACTACTACTGTTTTTGCTACTACTACTACAACTACTATCACTATTGCTACTACTGCTACAACTACCACCTTTTATATTACTACTAATACATTTTCTATAACTATAACTTACAATTAGTACTACTACTATTAATTCTACTGTTACGATTACTACTACTACTATATTTGCGTCTACTACTACAACTACTACAACTGTTGCTACTACTGCTACTACTATGCTTTTGCTATTACTACTACTACCACTACAATCATTATTACATCTACTACTACTACTGCTTTTGCTACAACTACTACAACTACAACTACTACCACCATTGCTACTACTGCTACTTCTATGCTTTTGCCATCACTACTACTACTATCACTATAACTCCTAGCATTATTATGACTAGCATTACTTATGCTTTTGCTACTACTACGACAATAACTACTATCACTATTGCTACTACTGCTACTACTACCACCTTTTATATTACTACTACTACTATAACTACAATCATTATTACGAGTATTACTACTATTACTATTACTACTACTACTACAATCACTATTACGACTAGTACTACTACTATTACTTCTACTGTTACTACTACTACTACATTTGCTACTACTAATCTTACTACTTCTGATACAATTACTACTACAACTACTATTTAGCTATTACCAATAGTATTACTACTACTACGTTTGCTACTAACATCAATGTACAACCTATATAAGAATATTAGTGCTATTATCTTTGCTACTGCTACTACTATTACTAGCACTAGTACTACTATTCTACTACTACTGTTATCATTGCTACTATTGCTATTGCTTTTCCTAATACTACTACTATTGCTATTACTACTATATAGGAATATTAGTGCTATTATCTTTACTACTCTGACTACTATTGCTATTATTACTACTATTGCTACTAGTGCTATTATTATTACTACTACTATAGCTACTACCACTGCTATTGTCACTGCAACGACTATTGCTATTACTGCTACTATAGCTACTAGTACTACTGTTGCTACTAATATTACTATTGCTATTACTACTACTATTGCTATGACTACTACTATTAATACTAATACTACTGCTATTGCAACTACTACTATTATTGCTAACACTATTGCTACTACTACTCTATTTCTATTACAACTACTGTTGCTACTACAACTACTATTGCTACTATAACTATTGCTCTTACTACTATTATTCTTACTACTACTATTGCTTTTACTATGGCTATTATTACTATTGCTACTAATACTACTACATTTGCTACTACTAGTAATAATGCTACCGCTACTATTGAAATTACTATAAGTGCTATTACTACTGTTGCTACTACTATAACTATTATTATTGCTGCTACTAATACTATTGCTCCTATTACTAGTTTTGCTACTACTACTATTTCTACTACTACTGTTGCTAATACTACTACCATTGTTACTAGTATAGTTACGATTTCTACTACTACTACTACTACTATTACTACTATTCCTACTAATACTATTGTCACAACTGCTATTATTATTGCTACTATCGCTAATACTTCCACTATTGCTACTACTATTACGACTACTAATACTATTGCTATCCATGCTGCTAGTAATAACAATACTGTTACTACTAGCTTTACTACTATTATTACTACTGTTAATACTACTACTATTGCTACTATTATTACTATTACTACTACTACTGGTAATACTTATATTATTCCTACTACTATTACTACTATTACGACTACTGCTAATACTACTACTATTGCTACTATTATTACTATTACTACTACTACTGGTAATGCTTATATTATTCCTACTACTATTACTACTACTGCAAATACTAATACTATTGTTACTACGACAACCACTGTCATTTAACCCTATTTAACTACCTTTAACGACTTTTAACGACCATTAACGACATTTAACGATCTCTAACGATGCATTATGATTTTAACGACTTTTAACGACTCATCTTACACATCTAACGACCTTTAGCATTCAACGACTATATTTAACTTTCTTCAACGACAAATAACGAATTGTAACGATCATAACGACCTTTGACCCTTCTAACTACATTTACGATCTTTAACGACTTTTTTAACTTTTTTAACGATCAACGTGCGTCCAACGATTTGACGACACCGAACTTTTTTTCTTTTTAACGACTTTTTACCTTTTAAACTTTTACGACTTTTAACGACTTTTACGACTTTTTTTTTTTTAGCGACTTTTTAACGACTTTTAAGCGACTTTTTTTAACTTTTAGCGACTTTTAACGACTAACGACTTTAACGACTTTTACGACTTTTTTAACGACTTTTTTTTTTTTTAACGACTTTTAACGACTTTTTTTTTTTACCTTTTAACTACCGCCAACATCAAACTTTTTTTTTTTTTTTTATTACAGCGATGTAATTAATTTTCCCCCTCCCCCCTTCCCCCCCCCTCCCCCCTCCCCCCCCCCTCTTGTGTTGCAGGGCTGGAACCGGCGTGCAACCGATCATTCACCCGTTGAGCGAAATTGCATCAATGGGCATGAAAGCTCTCAAATTGCAGAAATTGCGGGTCCGCCATTTTGTTTCCCGCACCCTTGGCAGCACTGGCGCCGCCCCCACTGGCAACACTGCAACCTCTAGTTAGTTGGTCTGGGACGAAAGAGAGAATTGAAAGAAAAAAAAAAAAAACGAAAATTAAAAAAAAAAAAAAAGTGGATTTAAATGATTTAGGGGGAATTTTTAAAAGTGTGAAAGAAGATAATTTGCCTGGATAGAAAAAAAAAAATAAATGATAATTGTGTTTATTTGTTTTAGGAGAGAGAGAAGGAGATGTGGAATATAAAAATATATTTCTGATATTTTCAATTTTTCTTTTCTTTGGTTCATTTTACCTTATTTTCATTTTTTAATAGTTTTTATAATTAATTTATCATTATTATCTACTTATTGGTATTAAGTTTAAGAGAAAATATATTTTGAAATAGATTCTTTCTGAAAATTAAAATTGAATCACCATCTTAAAAATTAAAGAAATAATTATATTGTTATTCCCAAATTATTTAAAAAGTTGTTGAATATTTTGTTACATTTTTAAATATTATTGAATTATATTTGTATATATTTATTATTATATAGTATATTAATCATCTTAGATTTATTGATATTAAGCATATCCTTTTTAATTATTTTTTATTATACGAATCATATCACAATATATCTATTTTTCTGTAATATGTTATTATATCTCACTATTATCTCTATTATTGACAACATTCTTTATTGTTTTTATTCTATTTTTTTTTTCCTTTTATTGATTTTTTCTCTAATTCTGTTTTATCTATCTTATTCCTCTTTATTGAATTTTCTCTATTTCTGTTTTATCAAATTTCTCCTTTTACTGAATACGTGATGATGATGATAAAGATTTTTTTTTTAATATATTCAATATAATTCTTCATATATCACATTATATATATATATATATATATATATATATATATATATATATATATATATATATATATATATATATATTTCTGTAATTATGATTATATTTAGATATTACAGTTCCTTTTTTAGAATTAAAGGAATTATGATTATAATTAAGATGATGATGATAGTAATGATGATAATGATGATGATAAAAAGAATAATAACTATAGTAATAGTATTAATTATGATCATAATATCAATCATAGTCGTTAATAATAAAAAAATAAATTAATTAATTAAACAAAAACCCACGATTCCAAAGAGGAAAGTAAAACATTTTAAAAATAAGATAAAAACATGATTCTAAAAAATAAATAAAAATTAAACATTATAAAGATAAAATATCAACAAGATTCCGTTTTTTTTTTTTTTTTTTTTTTTTGGATTGTTTTTTACTCTGGATCATAAGGACCAATTTCCCTAAACAAAGTCACTGGACCTGTTTTTGTGAAAGATAATTATATACTGAAATTAATTTCACTTTTAATTTATTTAATCTTATTCAATTAATTTATCTAATTTTAATTGAATTTTATCTAATTAGATCATAATCATACGAATTAATTAATATCATATAATCAAAATTATTAATGAGGTCATAATCACACGAATTAATTAATTTCATACATTCAAAATGATTAATTAGACCACAATCACACGAATTAATTAATTTCATATAATTAAAATTATTAATTAGACCACAATCACACGACTTAATTAATTTCATACATTCAAAATTATTAATATCATAATCACACCAATTAATTAATTTCAAAATTATTCACTCTAGTTATTTTTATGATTGAAGTTTATAAAAGCGAATTTTTAGTTTATAATTCTATAATTGGAACTTGAGTTTAAATATCTATAATTAATTAAATTTAAGATTTATTTACGCGAGTTAATAAGTTGAAATATCTATAATTAGTTCAATTTATGATTAATCATAAGAATTTGATTCTAATAGAACAATTAATTCCTATTAATTATATTTATTAAATTCATGCCTATTAATTATATCTAATTCATTCATTGTTATTGATTATATTTAATTAACTCTAAATGTATTTAGGAAGTAATGTTATTTACTCATTTAATTATTTATGATTTTTTTTTTTTTTTTTTTTACTAATCTTTAATTAATCTTTCACAAAAAGACTGACTTTTAATAGAGAGAAAAAAAATATCGAATCAAGAAAGATGAGATTAATAAAATGTTAATAAAATTTAATAAATTAATTTATTAATTTAAATTTAATTGATAAAATTTAAAATGTTTTAATTTATTATTATAATTAGATATTATCATTATGATTATTAACTATTGTTGATTATTATTATTCTCATTTCTCTTGATTTTCCTGTCCTTTTAGCAAAGTAAAAAAAACAACGAATATATACTAAGACATATATAAAAGATTAGATTGTATAAACAATAAAGAACTGATATAAATTGATCCTAATTGATCTTAGTTAATCACATAAATAAAGGGATAATCTAATCTAATTATTTCGTGAAACTTGAAATCTTTATCGTCATGGTCACTGAGTTTCATTTCGTTTTCCATTTTCTTCGTCAATTTTTCTCTCTCGCTTTTTTCCTAGAGTGAAAAATCAAAAAAAAAAAGGAATAAAAGAAATATTATTGAAAGATCAGGATTATAATTCGAAAAATAAAAATTAAACAAAGAAATGAGATAAAATAATAAAGATAAAAATAAAGGGTAAGATGGATAAAATATAATAAAAGTAAAGGGTAAACTTAACTAAAAAAATGAAAGAAAATGGGAACTAGAGCCTTACGTTTTCTATGAAGCTTCACAGAAAACGGGATAATGTTCCCCCTCCTCCATAAAAAATAAGGAAAAAAAACTGAAAAATCCATTAAATAAAATGGATAGACTTTATATATATGTTTTTTGTACATTTTTCTTCTCTCTCACTCTTCCCTCTTTCTAGATTTTCAAAAAAAAAAAAAAAAAGTGACGGATACATCGTTTCAATCAAGCTTTTTGCTAAATATAATTTTTTCCTCCTTTTTTTAAATATAAGATAATTAATAACTTTGCTCTCGTGTTGTTATGAACGCATGGTTGGGGGAGAATCGAATCTTTATTTGTTTTGTCTTTGTCTGTCTTCGTTCGCATATTAATCTCTATTATTGAAGCTATTTTTTATTCATTTTTTTTTATCTTCATTTTTTTTTATCTTTAATATTATATCGTTCTTTTTAGTATTATTATTTTAATCTTTGATATTTTATTTTCATTATTTATTTATTTATCTTTTTTAATATTTATTTAATTCTATTTGATTTTAATATTTTAATCTTTATTGTTTAATCAATATCATTTCCCTTTTATTATTTTATTATTATTATATTATTATTATTATTATTTGTTTGTTTTTGTCTGTTATTAACCTTTATTAGTTATTATTTCCCTTATTATCATTCTCGTTTATTATTATTTATCCGTTTACCGTATTTCTTAGTATCATCATTACTATCATCATCATCATTATCAATCTAATTATTATTCTTATTCTAATATCATTATTATCATCATTATCATCATCCTTACTACTATTATCATTATTATTATTATTATTATTATTATTATTATTATTATTATTGTATGACTATTCTTTTGATTAAGTAATTTAATCTCATTAATGATCTTTTAAAAAACTAATTAAATTCATGAAAATTCCAATTAAATATTTAATATTTATTAAATTAATTAATATTAAGAAATTTAATATTCTTTTTATGATTAAATAAATTCGTCTCATTTATGAATTTTACCAATTAATTAAGGTTGTATTTATTCATTTTTTATTCACTTGGTTAATTTAATAATTTTCAGAATTTTCTAAGATGTTAACATGTTATTAATACAAAGATTCAATCAGATAAATTCGTATTGTCAATATTTTTAATAAATTTAATTATTCATACGATTCATCACCTAAGTTTCATGTTCTATTTTATTTTATTTTATTTATTTATTTATGTTTATTATTATCATCATTATTTTTTTTAATTTTCATTTTCTTTCATTATCAATATTTTCTTTATGTAATTTCTGTTTTTATATTTCTAGTTTTTATTATCAATATTTTTTTTAGATTTAATTTTTATGTTTTTTTTCCTATTTCATATTATTATTTCTTTTATTTAATTATTCGTTTCTTGATAAATTAATTTTTGATTTAATTAATTAACAATTTGATTCCCTCTCCAACTTATGTCGGAGGTAGACTAGAGGCTGTTATATATATATATATACATTATAATGTGTTTTTAATATATTTAGGAAGAAAAAATATATATATAACTGAAATGTTGTGATGTTGGTAATTAAAAAAACAAAAAAAACTTTTTAAAAAATAATTCTCTCTCTCTCGTAATAATTTCTGAGGAAGAAATTAAATAAAATTAGTATTATTACCAATATTCTCTTGATCATCAATGTAATTATTGTGTAATTACTGTTTTACATTACATTACATTACATTACACTGGGAAAGATATAAATTCATATCACACTAATTATTTTAACCATACTAGTAATATGAATTTTTAGTTTATAATTATCAGTCTATAATCATAGATATAATTATATTTAATTAATGAGCTTATAGATATAATCATATTTCATGAGTTTATAGATATAATTATATTTGATGAATGAGTTTATAATTTTTAGTTTATACTTATGAATATAATTATATATGAATATAATTATAATGAGTTGATAATTATAAATATAATTGTATATAAATATAATTATAGTTACATAATTAGTCATATTCATTAATATGATAGACGGAAAATTTCTTTCTTAATTACATATCATATTTCTCTTTCTCTCTCTTTCTCTCTCTCTGTCTGTCTGTCTATCTCTTTCTTTTATTCCCCCCCTTCTCTCCCTCCCTCCCTCTCTCTCTAGCTCGTCTCTTCTCTCTCTCTCTCTCTCTCTCTCTCTCTCTCTCTCCTCTCTCTCTCTCTCTCTCTCTCTCTCTCTCTCTCTCTTCTCTCTCTCTCCCTCCTCCTCCCCGTCTCTCTCTCTCTCTCTCTATGGATCACTCTCCCTCTCTCTCTTTCTTATTCTCTCTCTCTCTCTCTCTTATCTCCCCTCTATCTCTCTGTCTCTCATATTCCCCCTCCCTTCTCTCTCTGTGTCCCACTCTGTCTCTCTCCCTCTCTCTCTGGTTTACTCTATCTACCTCCCTCCTTCCCTCTCCCATTTTTCTCTCTCTTTCTATCTTCCCCACCCACCCCCTCCTTTCTCTCTATCTCTCTCTCTTTCTCTCTATATCTTCCCCCGTTTCTCTCTCTCTCTCTCTCTCTTCTCTCTCCCTCTCTCTCTCTCTCTCCTCTTCTCTCTCTCTCTCTCTCTCTCTCTCTCTCTCTCTCTCTCTCTCTCTCTCTCTCTCTCTTCTCTCTCTCTCTCTCTCTCTCTCTCTCTCTCTCTCTCTCTCTGCCTGTCTGTCTATCTCTTTCTTTTATTCCCCCCTTCTCTCTCCTCTCTCTCTCTTCTCTCTCTCTCTCTCTCTCTCTCTCTCTCTCTCTCTCCTCTCTCTCTCTCTCTCTCTCTCTCTCTCTCTCTCTCTCTCTCTCTCTTTCTCTCTCTCCTCTCTCTCTCTCTCTCTCTCTCTCTCTCTCTCTCTCTCTCTCTCTCTCTCTCTCTCTCT